GGACAGTTATATTTAGAATCCATCTTTGTTCTAGATATTTATGGGGCTAACATGAACTTAATATCACATTAAATCATTAAAAATTCGCTGATTTCTCTAGCTAACAAATACCTGGAATATTATAAATACACCTAACAACAATACGCTGTTTTGGGTAGACGTGTCTGTTCCGGGCTTTTTACGCTGTTCGTAGTCACGTGAAATATTAACGTGCTTTAACCACCGAAGTGTTCAAAAGAACTATGCCAGTACTATTACTTTGTAATTATGTATTAACTTTGAAACTCTTTCTTTCTACTTAGTTGGGTTTAATGCTAACGTTTACGTTAATCGGACCAAAGTTTTATACATACTTTTCTACCTGAATAAAATGAAATATTTAGTTCGATAACAGAATCTGTTTCGAGCTTTTTTTTTTAGGAATTTCGCTATGACGTTTATTGCTTGTTACGTGATAAATGTTTTGTAAACATATGAATTTATCACTTACCATGAATTCAGATTTTAATTTTGTACAATAAAGCGTTCCGCGATGTTCCGGGTTTCAGCACGCTCCTTTACAGGATACCTTTCTAGAGCGGGGTTTTGAATAAGTATAACACCAACACCGTCGTTTAAATCTTGGTTTGGATCTTTTAATCAACACAATTTTTAAATACAATGATTAAAAGATCCAAACCAGGATTGAATGAGCAAAATAGTTTATTTATTTTACTGCCAATGATGTCCTCTGTTTTTCAGACAGCTGTGGAACAGCGGTAAGTCTTCGGATTTATAACACTATAATCAGGGGTTCGATTCCCCTCGGTGGACACAGCAGATAGCCTGTTGTGGCTTTGCTATAAGAAAACATGTTTTTCAGATGTTGCAAAATGCTGTTCAAAGTTTTCATTTCTCATGCTTTCTAGTTCTGAAACTAGCATTTGAAATTCAACTGAGTTCAAAACATTTGGAGGTCCGGGAAAATAAGAAATCAGGTCGTTGTTGTATGATGTCTTATCACTTGCACAATTCAACTTTGCAATACACTTCATTTCCACAGTCATATTAACTTAAACACACGCTATAATTTACAACGAACGATTCACGCACTTTACTTACTACTGCGCTTGC